GCAACCTATTGGCCAGGTAATCTAGAAGTGCTTTCTATTAAGTTAGTAACTATTTCTTGAGCTATAATGCTGGGCAGTTAATAAATAACGGGTCAAGCAGATGGGCTACAGTAGCACAAGACCACACCAGCTGCCACTCCTGTCAGCTGAAAACAGGAAACTGAGGCTACGATTTATAGAAGAAGATTTAATATAAGATTGAAAACTTTTGTCCTTTCTGATGAGTCTCCACTTCTGCTTCAACATTCAGATGGTAGGGTCACAATTTGGCATAAACATGTCCATGTCCATCCCTTTATGGCTACAGTGTACCATCATCTCATAGCTGCTTCCAGCAAGATGGTGCAACATATCTCAAAGGTCAAATCCTCTCAAATGGCCTCCACAGTTACTACATTTCAATCCAGTAGAGCACCTTTGTGATATACTGTGATGGGAGACTCAGATCAGGGATTTCCAGCCACAAAATAAAATCAGTCTATCCAATCAGTGTACAGACACAGCCAGCATATAGACAACTTTGTCCTTTAGGTGATCAAGCATAACAAAGATAACTGACTTTTTGCCCTTTTGAAGTACAATAAACACAAACACACACTTTTTTAATGTTCTCCATCACATCCGGATACAGAAATCAACTCACCAGGGAGAAGGCGTTGATGGTGTGGTACATGGGGCTCTGTCGTGGCACCGTGCTCCGATAGCGCAGTAGCATGAGAAGGCAAGCCAGGCCGTTCAGCAGAGAGGCCAACGCGGATGCCGGCTCCTCAAAACACAAGAAGCGTGCAAACGGCCACTGTAGGGGAAAAAATAATTCGTCCATAATTTCAGATTTGACTGAAATCAATGAAATCTCACAGAATACATAAAAGTGGACAGCATATCCTTTATTGATCAACCTTGGGTAGGTAGTAACAAACCTTGCCGTGGAACTGTGGGACCCTGTACCCCTCAGCCTGGTAAAGGCCGACTGTGGTCCACATGCACTGATAGCGGCAGTCATCACGGCATGTCCAACCTGAACAAAGAGAGGAGCTGAGTGCAAGCACGTCAGAGCTGCAAATTTTGGTATTGATCGGATACAACTAAATACAGGGCCAGTATTGTTGACACCAATAACGATATCTGAATCATTATTAATTTGCAAACTCTGAACACAGTTTAATGACCATTAAATCGCTGTAATTTTTTAAAAATTTCTACAAAAATTAGTTAACACAATTCAAATAAACTCAACTTTACTTGTAGCACCCAGTCACGACAACAGTTGAATTAAGGTGCTTTATATTGCAAGGTAAACGCCCTACAATAACACAGAGAAAACCCCAACAATCAACCTTATGAGCACTTTGGTGACATTGGGAAGGAAAAACTCCCTTTTAACAGGAAGAAACCTCCAGCAGACACAACAAAAGACATCTTTCAGATTTTCATGTAATTTGAAACCAGGTGTTTTGGAAACCTGGAATGCAAATGTGCCTGTCTCTAGAGCACATTGGGTCAGAGTCTGTTGTTTAAATGTGCTATAGGCTATAAGTCAAATAGACGTGCCAGACAACACAACAAGATTCACACGTTTTTTGTTTGGTTTATTTATAGCCCATACTTGAGGTGTATTTTGTCAATAAAATAAGCATGGAAGCGGTTTCAATTCTTGTATAGCAGTGAATAAACTTAAATACACAAGCAACTACAAAAGGCATTCCCTGGATATTTTATACAACTTTAAGCATAGAGGTAAAAGAAAACAATTAAATATTTAAAGGGGTTGCCTTTTGGCTAACTAGTTGTGTAGACACAGCACAGAAAAGATAATAATGGCAGAAGGGTGGGGTGACAATAGAGCTGTTGGGAGAGCTTGACCAGCCTGAAAATCTGGTTTTTAGTGTTGAAGGCCATGAAACAAGGTCACAGTTTTCTTTTTAAAGGCATGTGAAGACTAAAAGTCACACATGTAAGCATCAGTACAAAGCACCTGCATGCACGAGTGACTATAATGAATGTAAACAGCAAATTAATGGGGGTCAGTTAGCAAATGTTGTTATACAGATATATGCATGTACAAGTTGCCACAATATTGATAAGCACTGATCGAAAAATCTATTGCTAGCAAGGTAAGTTAGCTTAACTTACCTGCAGACAAGAGCAACTCACCTGTCAGCGCCATGTACTGCGGCTGGGCAGACAGGAAGCCGTTTAGCCGAGCTCCGGTGCAGTTTGCGCGGATACACTGCTTCACACAGTCTCGGTAAACCGGCTCCTTGTCGCCTTGAGAGCATTGCACAGTGGTCACCGACATCAGGAGCAAGAGGACGGTGACCACAGCGGGGAGTGTGACAGATGTGCCGCGGAGTGAAACCACAGAGGCCATGGCGGTTCTTCTGGGCCCGTCAGGATTCACGAAGGCACGACCGGACGACAGCGGCGTGAAGCCTACAGCGCGCATCACCACGGGGCCATCCCCAGTTTGTGCGGACAAACCAGGCCTGAAATGTGTTACAGTACCGCTGATGGACCGGGAAATGCCCACTCTTCCTCTGCTCCCCTGAGCTCAGCCAAGTTTCAAACTCGAACAGCGTTTCCTGTCGACATTTCAAAATTAAAACAACTTTCCCGGAAGCGTATTTACTCAAGTTGTAGTAGCCTATATCATACAGGTCTCAGCTAGTATAACTTACCAAAATTCTTTTCATAAACATAATTTCTACGTCGTAATACGGCTTATTTGATAAATTCTGGCTACTATCTTAAGATTGGTTGCTTTTATTTTGAAGGAGGTAAGTTTTGTCGCAAAAACCTTTACATCCTGATTCAGTCCGCAACGTCACCAGGTCACGTGACCCATTGATCTTTTGATTTTTAAATAATAATATTAATGTAATATAATAATAATGTAAAGTATAATATATAAAATTGTTATGATAATAATAATAATATTTTTATTTTATTGCATATAATACTAACCATTTGTTACCATTTGTTTTTCAATTTTTAGTTTTATAATTTCTCTAATTCATTTTTTCTTCCTGTCCTTTGTACTGCTGCTGTAACAAATGAATTCCTCCAATGATGGATTAAATAACGTTTATGTATAATAGTTTATTATTATTATTATTATTATTATTATTATTATTATTATTATTATTATTATTATTATAACAACAATAATAGTAATATCAGAAACTGCACCAGATTTGTCTGGGATTCATTCATGACAGGAATTCATTAATATATTTAGATTTTATTTTTTGCAAAAGTTTTTTTCCTTTCCTGGAAACGAAAATGGGAAATCCATTTTTTAGTCTAAATGAGGTATTACACTGCAGGCAGGCCAGTTTAGCATCCAGACTCTTTCCCTTCAGAGGTGTGTTGTTGGAATCATTGCAGAGTGTTTTGCTGACAGTAAAAAGAAATCATCTTAATGGTTTTATATAGCTTTCCAAAACATATGTATCATTCAGCTTTAATGGTCCCTCCACAGATATATAGCTTGTCTGTTGCACGTGCACTGATCCAGCTGTGCGCCAATAACAAACCAGCTTGGTGAGATCCACTTTTTCCACTTTTCACTGACTCTGTCGTAAAGAGCTCATGGCTGAGAAGATGATGCCATTTCTCAACAATGTTTAAATACTTCCTTTTCTTTTTTTTCATGATTGAGTTTTATTTTGCAGTGCAGTGTCAAACTGTGCTCACTGACAGTGACAGCAGATTTTCTTTTTCACAACCGATTGCCATGGTTTTCACTAGGAAATCACGTCTGCTGCTTGCCACAGTATTTTGTTTTGTTTTTTGGTCTTATCTCCAAATATTTTGAATCTTCTGATAATATAAATAACTGTAGATGGTGTCTTCATGCATGCTCAATCAACCAGATTAGTGAATCCCAAAAGGTTGATTCTGTTCATCTGAACGTAGCATCGTCAGTGGGAGAAACGTTTCGTAACTCATCCAAGTGACTTCTTCAGTCTCAGCTGAGACTGCAACTGACGGAAGAAGTCACTTGGATGAGTTACAAAACGTTTCTCCCACTGACGACGCTACGTTCAGATGAACAGAATCAACCTTTTGGGAACTGTAGATAGTCTTCTTCTACCATCATTTTTCCCTTTAGGTGTCTCCATGGATCATCTGCCGCCATCTCACCCTAAAGCTAGCATTCTCTTAAGACACCCCAACCCTCTGTATGTCTTTTTATTGGAACCTTCTCGATAGATCTCCCTTTTTTCCTCCTGGCTGGCAGCGTCATAGTCACTATCCTTTATCCAATATATGACACAGAATATGTCTGCCTTTATTCTCTCTATCATATCAGCCAGCTCTCTCCCTTTCTCCTAATTCCTACTTTTAAAGTCCCTACTCACCATCTCCACACTCCTGCCTCTCCTTCTGCCCCTGCTGCCTCCTAACACCTTCACCCTGTTGTCTTCCTTTGTCTTTGGCCATCAGTGGCTCCATTTCCACTGGCACCCCACTGGCCAACAGCACCAGAGGTGGTTGTTAATAACCTGGACCCCAACCGATCCGGCGTCTAAATCTTGTTCTTTTTGATCTGGTTGGGGGTGGGGGTTCAAAATTCCCAAATTCTTTGCAATTCTGTCTCAAGAAAAATGATTCAAATTTCTGGAACTTTCTGTATAATATTTTAAATTTAATATGTGAGTTTAAATCATTTGAAAATCTGATTTTGTCGCTATTTTATCCAACAACTTTTGGTTTTACTACTCACAGGGTGTCACATTTATTGGAATCAAGGATTGAAGTAGATTCAAAGATAGACTACAGTTCTTCTGCTTACTATGTTGGTTTGTACCTTTACCCTGAAAATGTGGCACCCACCCCTGATTTGGGATCATAGATTTATATTGAGAAATGGGATGATGGATAAAGTTCACACTGATAATGCTTCACCATATGCATAATACAGTCAGTCGGTGCTCCACAGTCACCCGGCAGTCCTTTCACCCGCGCTCCCACTTAAACCAAGAGACACAGTGTGGTACGAAAGATAGTGGATTTTATTTGTACTTCTTTATTTGTTACAGTGGAGACACAGACACAGTCACAGCAGCAGGAGTGGAAACAGCAGTGAGGGTGAGGTGGGGGGAAAGAAAAATCAAAAACAAAGCTGTTTTGCTTTTGTTTAGCTTTTTTATGCCGCCCATCCAACCACCGTCTATCACCATCTCTTTCTCTATTTACAAGACTTTTAAAATCGTGCTTTCCTAACCTTTCCTTTCGTACCTGTGTTTAAAGAGTGACAAAATAAAAGAGAGGGGTAGGCAAACTATTATAGCGCAGTACTCCCACTCTTTTACTGTGCACTCCTGGCCGGTACAAACAGAAGGAGGGATCCATTAAACACTCTGTGCCCGGTTGAGACTAACAGACCGCCGGGGCCAGACTGCTTGCCTGTTTCAAGCAAGTGACTGTGCATGCACCACAGCACCCAAGAGACGTTTTGACCAACCACACTGAACTGCATATGCATATATATGTAGGTATGATGCATGCACTGTTGGCCTCAACACAGGAGGACAGAATGAGTCATGGGCGAGGAGGGGAGGGAAAAGATGGAGGAAGAAGAGGCAGGGACAGAGATAGAGAGAGTGTTTCGGTGTCACAAGATTATTTTTTATTGAAAATAATCCCATGTTCCCCTGTTGGTACTCACACACAAACACCCCCACAGCCTCCCGTCCTCTCACTGAACATCTCGATAGAGGAGACAAGTCTTTTCGTAAGAAGAAAGAGCCGACCCGGGCGCGAGTGTGTGCGAGGAGGATGTTTCATTGGTGGAGAGGAGGAAGAATTAAGGGTATGGACAAGTGTGGGTTTCAATAGAGGTAAGAGATGTCGAGGATTTATTCCTCCTTCTCCTCTCCGTGTGTGATGACGTAGCAGATGTTCTTGTAGTCAACGTTGCCAGCCACATCAGGGGGGAAGGCAGCCCAGAGGTTCTTCATCTGCAGATGAAGAGGAAATGAAGAAATGCGTTACAGCCTGGCAAAAAACAAGGGCCAAATCGCGCTGCAAGTCCGATGAGCTCACCTCCTCAGCGGTGAACCTGTCGCACTGGGTGGTCAAGAGCTCCTCGAGGCTGGAGAGGGAAAACGCAGGAAATTTAAGATTAAGATGAAAGATTACAGCAGGAAGAGATGGAAGATAAACGCAAATAAGCTTACAATTCCTTCTTGATGCTGCCAGTGCCCTCGGGGTCCAGGACCTTGAAAGCGCTCACGATGACGTCCTCAGGATCAGCACCTATGAAAACAAAGACATAGAAAAAAAATAATAATTCAGAATTATGTTAATCACATAACATTAAGTGTTTAGATAAATAACAACCATCACCTTACAGCACCAAGTATTTCATGAAATAGAATACAAAGGACAACTGATATGTGCCAACACACCCTTCAGCTTCTCGCCGAACATTGTCAGGAACACGGTGAAGTTGATGGGGCCGCTGGCCTCCTTCACCATGGCCTCCAGCTCCTCATTCTTCACATTCAGCTGACCCATGGTGGCCAGCACGTCCCTGAGGTCGTCCTTGCTGATGATGCCATCTCTGTTCTGGTCGATAATTGTGAAAGCCTGGCACAGACCGGGAGATTAGTCAGAGATTAGATCAGAGTTCAGCCAAACTTCAGCTAAAATAACACTTAATTAAAACCAGTGAAAACTGAGATTCTCACATTTCTCACAAGTCCTTATTATCCAGCTTGTTTTTCATGATTATTTGTGCGAGGCACTCTGCCAATGTAAATGTGTAAATGTGGAGCAGTTAGCTCCTTCTCCTTCCACATAGGAGGGCGTATCACCCAATGAAACCAAAGATGGCATTGCAAACCTTTTGGGACTTGGCAGCTGGTCAGCCACTTGTCTTTCTAAGGTGTTAAAATGGCTTGGGAATGTGAGACAAGCCCTTTGCGACATTTAAGGAGAAGGTATTGATTGCAGCTGTCATCCTTTTGCCTTGTGACTAAATCTTATGACCATGTTACCAATGTTCTCTCTGCTTCTGAGGCCTCTTAAGGTCCTGCCAAGCTACTGTTGACATTGTATTGTCTTTCATTTAGATCTGTTACTGAAGAAAACCCCTACAAATGAATCCTGATTTCTATAATCTACTGATAACGACACTATTTACCTTGTTGATCACAGTGCTAAAACCCCCCAAATTCCTTCAGTTTCAACCCTGAGCTCCCCTTCCCCTGTGCACCAGCTGTTGGGCCACATTCCAGTGGAGTCACGGAGCGAGTGTCTCCAAGGAGAATTCCTAAGCTAGCATAGAGCAGAGGTAACTGCTGTCAACAGGAGAGCTGAAATTTACTGTCCTGCCGTGCTGATGAAGGCATTTTTTGCTGTTGTGCCGCTAAAGTGACGAGATCTATATCTTCTGACAGCTCTCTCACGTTACATTCAAGGTCACATGATAGAGTGCTCGGTTACATCACCACCTTAGAAGGTACTGATAGAAAGCTTGAGGTGTGATGAGGAAAAGGTTACCTCCTTGTACTCCTGGATCTGGCTCTGCTCGAACATGGAGAACACGTTGGAGGATCCACCCTCACCCTGCTGCTGCCTCCTCTTGGCTTTCTTGGGTGCCTGTGATATGATGTGAGGTGTAAGAAAAGCCATACATACATGACATGAACTAAAGAAGCAGATCCTGGTTAACTCTCAAAATCATCATATGAAGAAAAATAAATCAATCAAATTTCTTCCTGATAAATTAAGCTTGGATTGGCAGTTTTGCCAGTTGAATCTATCTTTGGGGTAATGACTGAATTTTTCCCCCTCTTAAAAAAAATTATAAACTTTGAAACAATCACCCAATTTAGTGTTGAGTAATGTGTTGAGGACTACAATAATAAGGAATAGGTCCTCCCGAACTTTAGCTCAAGGCAGCAGATAACACTGACACTGGCACTCCTTCTAGTTCACTTCCTGGGATGTTGGTAGTCCAGATAGCAAATATCTTAATGATACGCCCATCTCATCATTTTAATGTAGACAACATCCTAAAGACTTTTTTTAAACCCTATGAAGTGGCCACACTCACCATCTCTCAAGTTTGTGAGGTTGTTGTTGGTCAAGAAGAGAAGCCTACACCAAGCCGATGTGACTGACATGTAGGTATTGAATGCCTGGGGTCTTATATACTAGCCCATAGGGGGCTAACTTTAGCCACACCATCAGGTTTGGCAGGAAAATAGAGCTGGGGTATAGTAAGAAAAAGAGGGAGGAGCAAGGAGGTGGCTGGGGGGATCGGTTTACTGATGATCCAAAATAGGCTGCAGAAGTCTTGGAATGAGGTGAATTCAATGCCAACAGTGACTTTGGTGTCATGTGCGGACTAATATGGACAGACGGGACACGGTAAAGGACAACTGAAACGTCCCCATTTTACTTACTGAGTCTTTGTCGTGGCTATTTCTGTCAACTTTATATATCTATTGTGAGACTTCAAAGCCCAGTGCGTGATGGCAAAGTGTCGCTGCTTTACTGCTTTAATACAGACACAGATGGGACAGTTACCCCGCAATCAGCACGGCCCGCTGCCTTCTATTAATTAATACTCCAGTGCTGCTCAATATCTCAGCTAACATTTCCTGAAGTCATCACCTGTCTAAATGATAGGTTTGATCTGAGGTTTGTGGCCATGGCCAGATCATTAGTGGCCATCAGGGTGTATAAACAGTTGTGAAACCTGAAAACAGTTGGCTGACGGACATTGGTCCAGGTCCAGCAATGACACACGACCACTGGGTCTCTGGAAAAAGTGACCGTGCATCAGTGAGAAATCCAAACAGTCCTTTTAATACTGCCTCAAGTAGCTGGAAATGCTCAGTGGAAAGAATAACATTGAAAGTGTGACTGGGAGGGGAACAAAATAGATCACAGAGGCCACCTTTACAGGGACTAAAGACAAAACAGGTGCTCACACCCAGGATAGTGAATCATTTTCTGTTTTACTGATTCAAGTGTAAGAAAGAAAAAAAAGAAACAGGCAAAATGATGATTGGACTAAATGACCAGCTTTACCGCCACGGGTGCACTAATTTGGGTTCCTCCTCGAGGTTCCCAGTATAGTTGCTTTAGGATAGGAGGACAGTGACCCACCCACTAAACCCCATATATGAGTATCATTGGCTGGCCATCAATCACACAACTGTACAGCTTAGGTATGTATGTATTGGTATCCCACGCTGGCGTGAAGCAATCCAGAGTCTTAGCTGGCTCGTGGGCGTAGCGTTTCACGTGGCAAAATATGACCTAAATTATCTGCAATGTTTTGTAATGATGGAAAACGAAGCGCCCGATTGGCAAGGAGGAGGCAAAAAATGTGTTGTATGTGAAGCCAATAAGCAGCCAGCTCAGCTGTAGGCTCGAAGGTTGAAAAAAGAAGCGATGCAGACACAGAAGGAGAAAGACAGAGCAAAGACCACGAAGACAAGACAGCTGTACAGACTGAAATAGCCCTGCTGCCCTCCTGCCATTCTGTTTCTCAGCCATTTCGACCCCCTTCTAAAATTTAGCGGACTTCACCCTTCTTGGCCCGTGTTGCCCCCCAGCCAACTGTCAGTCCTTTTTTACCCTGTCACTGGTCAAATTGTTTAAATCTGTGAGGCAAAATGGACTCATTAGGTCATCAATAATAATAGAGCCCAAAGGGAAATGTTTCCTCGATCAGACAATTCCTGATTTAAAATGGAAATGTGGCCAACTTTCAGCTACAGATGAACTCAGGCCTTTTTAATGGCTGGCAGATTTATTTCTTATAAACACGCCAGGTATTATCAGCTCTGAAGTAATGAAGCTGTTATTAATAAGCAAATTTTATATCACCGTTTCACAGTTTCTTTCATTCTCTGTCCTCGGTGAAATTTGTTCGGGCATGTTAAGACAGACGTGTCAAACATAAGGCCTGCCAAAGACTCAAATCCAGCCCACTGGAAAGCTTTGTGCGAAGGAAAAACTCTGTTTTTACAATGTGTTCACAGTAAAAAAAAAATCAACAAAAGAAATTTACATTTTCTGTGAATTAACAGAAAATTTCAGTCTAGTTTTAAGCTACCAGGATCCTTTCTGTAATTTAACACATTTATTTCTTACAGTTTAATCCCAAAGAGTCGTGCGGACACATTTCTTTCATTTGCCACAGCAGCATTTCTTTAGTAAATGTGTAGTTAAACATTAAAGGACAGAAAGAACAGTTTTACTGATCCAGCCTCCTTAAAATCAAAATGTGGTGTATGTGGCCCACAGTGTAACACAGGCTTGACATCCATGTCTTAAGAGGAAGGTTTTCACCTGAACTGGTTAGCCATAGTATGTCCAGTATAAAGACAGTAGACTAGCTGGAGCAGATGGAGGTCATATTTCAGGTGAGTGACTTTATAAAAATGCCAACTTAGGAAATAACATCATTGCAGTGACAAACAAAGGTTAATAAAACAGATGATCACAGATCATTTATTGACTAATCTATGAAAAAGTAAAAAAGAAACAGCATGTTTCTGGAAGAAAACAAATATAACTATGTCAACTATATATTACCGACACATTTCTAATCCAGTGCACGTATGCATGATAAAGCTTCTCTATAAGTTAAGGGTTAGAAACAAAGCCAACTTTTATCATTCAAAATCTATCAAGTTTTCTTCCTGAACATTCGCACCGCCGTGTCCTTTCTTTGACCACATGACAATCAGTTCCTTTACTTCCTTTCCATAATCTTCATGCAGCTGGTTAAAGTCGTACTCCCCAATCGTCTGAAATGGATCAAACATAGGCACCGCGTTGGCATTCTTCTTCGATCGCAGTTTGGGTGATTTCTTACTGGCCGTCTTGGATGAAATGGTAAGAGCTTGTAGGTTTGGACAGGAATTCGGGCTGGGTGCTGTTCCCAGCGCAGATGAGGTGCAGGTGTTTGAGGTCACAAAGACGGCAGCAGACTGGATGGCGCTGAAATTTGGCATGACAAAAGGTTTGCTTGGTTTACTGGAGAGTGCACCAACTGCATCTGAAGAAAAAAAACAGTGAAATATAGAAATTAAGGAGCTGAATGCACATGAAGAGAAAGACAAAATCTGCTCATGCTGCATGTGTACGGCAGAGCTCCATCCACTTGCTCAATGACGCTTTAATCTAACCTTTAACTCTACAATCAGTGGGTGATCTATTCCGGCTGTGGGCCCTGGAATACTGAGAATCTCTTACTGATCACTACATGCTCAGAAAATGTACACAAATAAAGAACTGTGTCGTACATGCTAAGCAAACAGGTGCTAATCCAAGTTTTTTCTGTCAGTTTTTCTACATGATAAAAGAAATGCTGCTTTAGGCTCAAACTGTAAGAAATAAATATGTAAAATTAGCTCTGACTGTGTTGTAATTATAAAATGGAAATTTGGGGGAAATAACAGAATGTCTTTTTTTTTCTTTTTACTGTGAACCTGCTGTAAAAACAATTAATGTCTATAGCATACAATAAAAAAACCAAAACAACAACAACCAGGAAATCCATGTTGTTTCACTGTTTATCTGTTTCTTTATTGACAGTAGTGTTACAGGAATGACCGTGGGGGAGGTATTTATCACTTGGAAAAGCTGTAAACTTAAAAAAAAAAAAATACAGTTAAAAGTTTAACATTTAAAGTTGTCCTTCACATTTTCCAAAGATCTCTAGTGGACCAGGTAGGAGTCTTTGGCTGGCCGATTCTGGCCCCTGAGCCTTATGTTTGACACCCCTGAACTAAAGCTTTAGTTGTTTGTTTTTGTAAAACCTCTTTAACTTGATCTTTGTGTCTAGTTTTAGTTTAGTTTTTATTAGTTTCAGTTTTAGTTTTAGTCTTTTTTTGATTATAGCTGTAAGAAGGGCGCGTGTCAGAGGTGGTGGTTGACTCAAAGTGTGTCACAGAATTCTATCACACAGAAACTCTGGATATTTCCTCTATATTTTCATTTTTATTCACAAAATCATTTCAGTTACTTATACTTCTTTTCAAAAATCTAGTTTTTATTTTGGTCCTGTACCTCTCTCTCACACACACACACACACTGATAAATGTATTTTGCCCGAGGATTCTTCAGTGTACAGACTAAAGGAGCTGGAGATCGAACCATCAACCTCCCAGTTGGACGCCCGCTCTAGCACCAAACATAAATCTAGTACGCTTTCTGTTTTAAGAGAGCTTTATGCTCACACCTCATGGTCAGGACATCAGGTCCATAAACGGATTCAATGACTGATATTAACTTAATTACCACTTAAGTCAATTACTACTTAACAGGTGAAACTAACCGTCATTTTAGCCAGTTTTTAAGCAAAACGCCCCCAAATCTGTGAGAGCATTTCAACTTTGTTTTAATGAGACGTGACATGAGATCGATTTTGTGGTGGCTATGAGAAATTTATGACCGATCTTTAGAACAAAGCAGAACGATCAATAACAAATATTAACAATAAAAACTTGGTTGAAATGAACTGTGCTCTCATTACTACTCTGTTAATAGATAAAACATCAGTAGTGATCATAATGATGCGACTGATGCTGCGAGATCATAATATGTGCGTGTACGTGTGTGTGTGTGTGCGTGCGTGTGCGTGCGTGTCTACAGTATGTACCACAGTGTACCAGGTGTCTGATGTAGACAGTGATGCAACGCCTCTCGCAGCTGCCCTCCAGAACAAAGGCTGCTCTCTTTAGCCCCCCCCCCCCCTCTCCCCAGCAAAGATAAACCCGCTCCATCTTTCTGCCCTCACCTCTGTACTTCGACTCCATGTCCACTACAAGCAGGGCCAGGTAGCTGTGGCTGGCTGACAGCAGGGCTTTGATCCAGCTCTCCTGACTGGCCTGGTTCTCCGCGGCAAACTTGTACGTCCGCAGCCCCGGCTCGCTCCACACCAGCGAGAAGGCGAAGTTCTCCTCGGACTCGCACAGCTGGACGGTGCAGCCCTCCAGAACAATCACTCCGACCAGATCCCGGTCGGTCTGCCGGTCTTTGTAGAAGAGGAGGTTCCCCTTCAGCACGAACCAGCGCTTCTGATAGGAAGTCTTGATCTCACCCTGTGTGTGTGTGTGTGTGTGACAGTTGTGTTTTACTGACATGCTGTACAAACGCCTTGTGTACTCAATTTCTTACATAACTGATTTGAGGAAACAGGCAACCCAGTGGGAGGTGAAATGTCACAGAGATTTTGAAAGCTGAACTTAAAAAACAGTTTTAAAAAAATCCCCTCTGAGTTTATTTACTTTAGATGACCTCACTACCCTTTCTGTTTGTTTTTCAAAACAATACGTTAATCAGGTTCCCTGTAAACCTGAGCCAGGGCGTCTTACCTTCTTGTACAGGTACCCTTCCTTATCCACAGGTGAGTTGCAAGATTCAAAATAGGTGAGGACTTTTTCATCAATCTTCATTTCAACATCTCAGTGTGCCCGGAACAAAATCTGCCACGCACACACCACAGATCGAAAGAAAGAAAAAGAAAGACTTTATGTACTTCCTCATGTTATTGCTGTGACTATTTATAATTATGGAGAAGTTATGTTAACGATATTTTAATGACCCATTGTCGCCCAGCGGCCAAATAAGCGCCCCTTTTCCGCGTTTTAAACAAGGAAATGCATTCATATCTCGGCGTTCATACTCAACAATAAGAATGACTGCTTTCTTTTCTACAACAGAAACTTAAATACAGTCGTGTTTCGCTCGTATTCAGCCGAAAACACGGCGATCGCCATGAATAAGACGAGTTTTTTTTAAGTAAGGCGTTTACGCGCGCCTGTAGTAACACAAACTTACTCAACACCAGTCTCCGTTGGCAATACGCCTAAAAGTTGAGAAACGGAGAGGCCGATGAGTTTCTCATATCCACATGGTTCTTGTTTACTCACCTCTGTGAAATGGGAAATGAAGCCGTTCCTCTGTGAGCGTCTGAGTCAATCAATCGCTTCCTGGTAAGGTGAGCGCAGCTTCACGTAAACACTTTAAATAAATGGGCTGGTCCCCGGGTTTTATCACTTAGGCTAGAAACCCTGTCAGTTTACCCAAATCAGTTGTAAATGTGTTATACTTGTAAAATCGGCTCCTTTGATGCAGCTAAAAGCAATTCAAATGCTGAAGTTTGGCACTGCTGTTGTGTAATTCAGCGGTTTCATCTTGCAGAATGGCCCTCTTACAAAACCTGCATTGCTTCACGCTGTTTTTATTTAAAAGTACTTTAAAATTTCATACGAATGAGGATCAAAAATCGACCTTCTTGATTAATGAAAATGGTCTTCTTGATTGGTGAAAACTTGATAACATAAATGCACACAATGAACGATAAACAAAATTATAGTGTTGTGCAAAAGTCTCGAGCCACCCCTGATCCACAGTCAAAGCTCTTTTGTGGATGTTGGATGTTACATTCTCTGTGAAGGTGACCCCACACTGCTCCAGTAATAATGAGGTCCAGGCTCCGGGGAGGCCAATCCACTGTGTTTTTTCCATCCAGGTGCTTCTACTGTGTTGGCAGTGTGCTTGGATCATTGTCATGCTTAAAAGTGAAGCTGTTACCAAGCTGATATTTCCCAAGTGGAATTTTATGGTGGATCAAATCTGTGGGAGTTTTCTGCTTCCATAATTCCATCATATGATTGTTGGGGGTTTCTCCATGTTATTGTAGGGCCTTTACCTTACAATATAATGCAGCTTGGGGTAGCTGTTGTTGTGATTTGTGGAAATGCAGCTCCAGACATGACAGAGCCGCCACCGTGTTTCAGTGACTGTAAAGACTCACTGTTGTGTCTCCCTCCTGACCTTTAGCATTTTAATTCATCACTCCATAAATCCTCTTATGTAAGGAAAGCATTTTCAGATATTGTTTATCTTCTGTGGATAGTTTTGTAAGTCTGCTACTTCCTAATTTCTCCTCCACTTGTCCAGTTTAAGGACACACTGCACACCACACTGTTATGTCAGGGTTTTGGCTAATAGCTCTTTGGGAATGAGCCGGCTGGTACAAAAATGCAATTTTATGCCTGTTAAACTTTTATCTTTGGTAATATTTTATGCCGTTAAAAATATGACGTTTTTAGGCCACTAATAACTACAGACACAATTAAAAACGGATTTTTTGCTAAGTTGTCTGTTATGTGTGGTTCACCCCTTGAATTATGCACATTTTTACACTTTATAGGTCAGTGTTAAGTGGCTTAACAAACAAAGGAAAACATTTCCTGTGAAAATGTCCAAATACAAAGACTGGACTGGAGTGAAAAAGCAGCGAATGTCCAAATAGAAACCTCCAGAAAGCCTGGAGAACTCTTACTCAAGACCATTTAAAAAATGACAAAAAGTCTGACTGCTTGGAAGCAAAACATAAAGAAACGAGAGGTGGTTCAAGACTTTTTTGCAGTACTGTTAACATAATGCATATTCTCTCGTGGCATTTGAATCTCACTTGTGCCAGCACCTGTGGTTTCTCAAACGCTTCTGAGTGAACCGCCGCTTCAGAAAACAATGTTGATGTGCAGATTGCTTTAGGTTATGTGGTCACTGTTGTTTTTAGCAGAAAAACCCTGCTGACACATGCTGTGCAAAAACCCAAGTGGGTGCATGTGATAATTACTTACACAATATACTTGTGGCTGCTGACCAGTCTGCTGAAGAACAGTTTGCTTAAAATGTCACTCACTGAGCCATCGGTAATGGTAATAAATTAGTTTATTGCCTTTGCTTCACAAACCAAGTTTAACTTGCAATACATATGTCCAACCATCAGAAAGCCTTTAATCAGTCTGGAAAGTCGGGTAACTTTAATGACAATCATGCAATTCCGATTTTTAAAAGGTTTCTCTGACATTTACCGAAATGACGACACATTCTGCAGGTGGAAAGAGGTCAACTCGTCGAGTTAACCTCCTTTTCAAACCAACGTTTCACAGGAAACTGTTATAACGGAGTCGGACCTAGAAGACACATCAATATAGCATTTGTAATGCTGGTACCATAGGAGACAAAGAGGCTCCTGCACACCATCTAACTTGCAAGAACATATTTATTTCCTTTTTGTATAGCCAAAACTCTGTGTTTTAAACACTTTGCTGCTTCATTTCTTATTTAGATTATTTCTTACAAGTTTCCATGGGTTACAGGCTGCAAAACCCTAAGATCCACTGAAGCAGTGCAGCATGAGCTAATGAATCACTTACTAATAAGTTACAAATTAATTTTCATTGTGAGTGCCATTAGAGTTCCTCTCTCTTTGTGGGTACAGGCTGTCAGCTGATAGAGTAACTGTTTTTTGTGATTTTAACATGACCTATGAAGCAGTTATTTCAACACCTGGCCGGTATAAAGGCAATATGAAAGGTAGAATTTAAGCTACACAGCATCATCAGCCTCGATCCACCTTGGTGGTTTTTAAACTTCAGAATTACATTTTTTTTCTAATCAAACTGTGTTAAATTTCACTTAAATAAAGGTGAATTTCATCAGTGCAAAAGCATCAGCAAAGTAAATTTACCTGAGTTTTATATCATATATTTCACCTGGTTACCCATCTCCACCACTGCTTCACCTAATTTAAGTGGCCACGAATACCACAGCCTGCTCTACAGCAGCACAACACAGCACAGTACTGTACACTGTACGTAAACACTGCTAACATAGCAGTTTAGCCTGCACTGAACTGTGTAGTATTTTCATACCATTTACATAACACAAAATGATTCCAATTCAAGTTTCACAACTTGAAATAACCGTTCAGCTACAGCAAAACATCCTGCACAGATCTAGCTTCTGATAAAAAAAACAAAAACAGAACAAGAACCATTAACGTAACAATACATGTAAAGCTTTAAATTTCTAGCTTGTCAACTGTCGCTCTCTGAGTTTATAGCTTTTGAAAATAACCTCGTCATCCTCTTATTATTTTTCTCCATCTCTGAGAGTGATCTTATTACAGATTCACTTTTTTCTCTCTGAAAAATAGCAGCTGTATCTTTAGCTTGCATAGCCAAGCTGCACAGACAGTTTGTGTGTTTATTGCTGAGCTCTTTGAAATTACCTGCCACTTTAAACACAGTTACTCCATTTATGCTACAGTACTCTTCCTAAGTTTCTCCATGGCATCAGCTGGAAGGACGCCAGACTGCAGCACATTCATTACTCATTAACCGAAGATGTGGGAATGAAACTTTAACCCCTGCATGTTTCCATGGCACAGAAGCACAATCACAAGCATTTCATCATATTCTTCATAACTTCTGCAATTCTTTGTGGCATGCAGGATAGGAGCTTTTGAGATCTGCATGATCAGAGCTCTCAAGCCGATCAAAGCTTTTGGGCTTCTGCTTGTCCACTCATGGACAAGTCTCAGTTGTTGTGTCCTTGGGCAAGACACTTCACCTACCGCCTACTGGTGATGGCCAGAGGGGCCGATGGTGCGATATGGCAGCCTCGCTTCTGTCAGTCTGCTCCAGGGCAGCTGTGGCTACAACTGTAGCAGCCTCCACCAGTGTGTGAATGTCAGACTGAATGAATAGAGGAACTGTAAAGCGCTTTGAGGGTCTCAAAAAGCACTATATAAATGCAATCCATTATCATTATTATTATTATTTCTTTGACTATCCTACAAATGTCCTCCAAGCCCAACTTCTTCCCGTGATCCAAGAGCAATCTGGTGGCAATTTTCCAGCATGATGGAGCAAAGTCCATCAATAACAATCCCCTATGAGCAAGCACTTGGTGAGAGGAAAGACTTCCTTTTAGCAGGAAGAAACCGCCGGCAGAACCAGGTTCAGGGAGGGGTCATCTATTTGAATCTTATAAAATGCTTATTATTGTTCTTCATAATATCATAGAAACATGTAAAAAAAATGCAAATAATCGAATTTTTTTAAATGAAGCAGCAGTGTTTATGAAACATTTGGGCACAACCCAACTTTTAGAAGTCACATTCCCTCGGACCTTCACAAGACATACATATAAACACATTTTTAGCATACATAAGTTCGATTCGATTTCACAGGCCATACAAATGTATCGCTGGAGATTTACAGACTCTTGTTTCTTTACAAGCTGTTTCAAATGTAGCTCCAATAAAATCTTAACATCTCTCGATCTAAATGAAAAGCTCACATTTATATATAAACCTGCATGCTTTTGTGCCTTTCTTTTTACATTTCTAGCTTTATTCATTACACAGGGTGTATCAAAAGGAATAATCTGTTGTCAAAGTGCTTTAACTGTTCAGTCGTTCACCTGTAATGACTGAAACACTGTTTCTTTAAAAAATACAGCCTTTCCAAATTGGATGACTCTTTTGATACACCCTGTGTAAACCACACTGATGCCCGGTGTTTATTTATATGTCCTGTGTAGCACCTTGAGAACGTAATTAGCTGAAAGGTGACAGAAGCTTCCTGTTTAAGATCCTTCTCTTGAGCACTGACATATATATTCTTGCAAGTTACAACAATGCATGGAAGCCCATCTGCTGCCGTCTGTTATTACAATTTCAACACTCGGTTGAGTTGTGTCACCAAAGTAACACTGCACGGATATGATATACCAGATATATCAGATATAGAGAGTATGCATTTTTTTAAGACTTCCCCTATTTGGTTAAGAGGGTAAAAAACAGACGCCTGGCTTCTCCATGCTTAGCGTGACAAACAAAGGAGCCTTCCAACAGCTCCAGTTAGCAACAATTTAAATACACTGCAACTGTTTCTAAAACTAGGATCACAGGTCAAAAATCAACCTTTAAAAATCTCTAAAAAAGAAACAAAAAACTCTGCTGATTTTATTGATGTGCACTCGACTCAGTGCTGTAATCACTACCGCTGCTCCTGACACGCTTGCTGCAACTGCAGCGTCTCTCCGATGTGGATCCTCTGGTGTCTTTTGAGGTTTTCCCCACGACTGAAGCTCTTTCCACACTGGCTACAGTAGTACGGCTTCTCACCCGTGTGGACCCTTTTGTGTTTTTTCAGGTCTCCCGCCTGACTGAAGCGCCTTCCACACTGGACGCAGCCGTACGGCTTCTCTCCTGTGTGGCAGCGCTGGTGGATTCTCAGGTTCCCGACCCTGCTGAACGTCTTTCCACAGACCACGCACAAGTGGAAGCCGTCTCTCCTGAGGTGCTCCATCCTGATCTGTCTGCCGTCCAAACTGGCCCTGGTGTTCTTTGCTAATCCATGCCTCCTGTGTGCCATGTGATTTGAACGAACAAAAACGAGTCCATAAGGCTCGGCGCTAGCTTGCGGCCTGAGGGTCTCGGTAGAGGTGTGACGAGAGGAGTTGCAGCTTAAATCCATGCAGCCGGTGTACTGAGATTGAAGACATGGTTGTTGTGATGACATGCAGTCTGTGGGCTCTGATTCACTTTTGATAGCAGCCATGTTTAACCCAAACAGTGTGCTGGAGTAAGGGTCTGCGCCGGCGTCCCTGGTTTCAGACGGCATACGCTGCCCCTCTAAGTTGTGCGGTGCATCTGCCAGCTGTACTTTGTGGTGGTCTGTGGACGTTTGCGCCAACTTGGACTCAGCTTGTGTCTGAATACCGCTGTGGCTGTCTTTTTCTTTAGTCTCCTGCTTCAAGACATAGTTGAGCTGGTTGCTGTTTTGCTCTGCGAGAGCAATAACATCCGAGTCATGCTTCTGAATGATGCGCCGATCCTGCTTCGCTGTTGTGTCGCACTCCTCTGCTGATGGCCCACTTGAAGTCAGGACAGCTGTGAAATTTGCAATCATGAATAAGAGACCTTAAGCAGAACAAAAATGTTACATTATCTGTAATAATAAATTCCTCACAAAAATGATATGTGTTCTCATGGGTGCTTTCTTTTGGTATCTTGTCCTGGAGCTCCTGCAGTCTCCTCTTCAGACTCTCGTTCTCTCTCTGTGTCCTGGCTGTTTTCTCCTGGTACTCTGACACCGTCTCCTTCACCACCTCCAGAACCTCCTGCACGGCTTCGGTCAGGAGTCTGGCCACCCGGGCGTTCAAACGCTCAAGTTTAGACATCCTGAAATGAAACACCACTTATGAGAACACATCTGTTTTTATATATTAATTAAGGAGAAATGTATGATAAGCAATACCGTTGACGCTACCGCTAGGTGATTACACTCATCAACAACCTAGTTAGGTACACCTGCTTAACTGCTCATTGTGGGGAATATTTTTTTGACCTCCTTAATACCAACCAAGCATAATTTAAACACCACCGCCTACCCGCCTACCTAATAAAATCTATGCTATGAAGAATTAAGGCAGTTTTGAAGGCAAAAGGGGGTCCAACCCGGTGCAAACAAGGTGTACCTAATAAAGTGCCCAGTGATTGTATATGACAGCACTGATGGGTGCAGTTACCTGTTACTTCAAACAACGAATTAGAGCCACCTGTTCTTTCAGAAACCAGTGATTACCTGTCCTGTTATTAAACCGTCATGCAACGCAATCAAATGATTTCCTACTACACTTCCATTCAGCTACATTCACCTTATTTTGGTCCGAGATTTAAAACATTGTAAACAGGTAAAATGATGGTTACTCATCTTCTAGAACCTGAAATACGTGGCAGTGTTATCTTGTAACTGTTACTAATATCAGTTTTAGATACGACAATATTTTTAAATCTCCAGGAGTACCTGTAAGCTAGTCCCGAAGTTAGCTTCGTATGTCAATGTTTTCCGTTTAAACATCCCAGAGGTCCAAACACTTGGTCATAAGGCTATCGTGTTAGCAAAAATATACATAAATAAATCGATTTTAATGACAAGTAATTTATCCTATCAAACTTGTAAAGATAATTTATTAAAAAAAAAAAAAACTGACAACATGTAACAAAGCAGATCCACGAACAGCAAAAACAATCTTTAACATCCGGAAGCAGAACTCTGATCACGTGTGCAGAGGGGTTGTTTTCAAAATAAAGGTCCGAGTGAAACGCTTCTGTCTTCTTCTTATCATACAATAAATTGTGATATTGTGAATTATTTTGTTATATTAGGCCATCCTGAACCCTTAATTGTTTTGTGACATGACAGAGCCAATAAATAAAATATCACATATCTATATCTGAAGTCACAACAAAAGCATGAATACTGTCTCTGCACCTCAAGAATTATTACAAGAAGCCAAAATTAGGACCCTAATTGTAATCTACTCCTAACAGTGGCACATTATAAAGAGATCAAATTATTTTTTGAAGAGAACTGAGTTCATCATATTGCTGAGGTCCTCCAAAACAGTCTCAGTTTCCCATCTGGGTCTTTGGTAACATTAATAACCCATACCTGCTAAAGAAATATGTTACAACATCACAGAGTAATCAAATTAAATAAGTGACCCTGAACTGAATAAGTAGAAGAGATCCCCATTGGTGGATATATTTTAGAAATGAGCTGTGGCTTCCAGTAGGTGCCTTTAAGTCTCATGATTCAGAACAATACAATTTTGGTTTTGAGACTGATTCAAAAGAAATTGTGCACCAGTCTCAAATATTGCAATGGACCACACAGAAGGACCAAAAGAATTTGATCAGCTAATTATTTTATTTGGAGATCACAATACAGAAACACACTACAGACTCCATGCTTCAAAATCTAGTAATGGAACAAACAAAATCTGACCAACAACAGCAGCTCAGGAAAACACAAGTGCTCCCTAAGAGGCAGTCTATTCTGTGAAGAAGGCACATTAACCTCTTTATATGTTTTTAGCTGACCTCGAAAAACCCACCAGCCTTCACAGATGAGTCTGCTGGTGCTTCTTTAAGTTACTTGAGTGACTGAAGCTTTTCCCGCACTGGCTGCAGGCAAACGGCTTCTCTCCTGTGTGGTAGCGCAGGTGTACTGTGAGGTACCCCGACTGGCTGAAGCGCTTGCCGCACACCGAGCAACAGTACGGCCTCTCCCCTGTGTGCACCCGGTTGTGTTTCTTATAGTCACCTGCATGCCTGAAGGTGCGACCGCAGAGAGAGCAGCTGTAGTGTTTTCGGACGTTTCTCTGCAGTTTCTCTGCTGAGAACGAGCAGCCCACTTCTGTGTTGGTTTGGTTTTCTTCTCCGGCATCGTTTGCACTGATGTGTCTCGCTGGCTCCTGTACGTCACGTCCTGAATCAATGTAGAAAACTGCAGATTCACCTCCGAGTCCTGCAGTGCTCGTTGATGGATCGCAATAAAAATAATTCACAATACGCAAGCCATCGTTGTCTGATGCAGGCTCTACTTTCGTTTTCTGGTCATTTTCAGAATGCAGAGGTGCAATGAAGGGTCTTTCGTGGTTTATTAATGAGGCTGACTGTCCATCATGTGTCTTTGTTTTCAGATTTCCCAGGCTTTCTGTTGCACGGTCAGGGGAAAAGCAGGAAGCACCTAATGACTCAGTGTCTTTATCAACAGGGATGACCACCTCTTCTTTCTCTTTCATGTCTGCTGGGATGGATGCAAACATTTCTGGCACCAATGCTGCAGGAAGACACACATTAAACTACTTTAAAAAAGTTTAAATCCAGCTGTTTCACCACTTGTACTCACAGCTGGATCCTTTGTTTTCTTACCATTGCTCCCCAGGTTAATTCTGTCTTGCAGCTCCTGCAGTCTCCTCTTCAGACTCTGATTCTCTCTCTGGGTTCTGGCAGTTTTCTCCTGATACTCGCACACAGTTTCTTTCACCACATCCAGAACCTCCTGTACTACTTTAGACAGGAGCTTTTCCACTCGAAGATTAAGGCGCTCAATTTTGGCCATCTTTAAGGACTAAGAAGACAAAAAATTAAGGAGCATATTTAACAGACTTTTGCAGGATGCAACATGTGTTCTGCACATTTCCACTTAGATAAATGAAAGAAATAATGGCGATTGGATATTTATGCAACAAAGAACAAAAAAAATAGCAGAATGTATTATTTAAGAGGAAAGCAGAAAAAACGGGAGTGCATTTTTACTACCAGTTATTAACAAGCCGAATGCTCACATACCTTGAGTTTAATGCGATCCCATGAAGCATGCGCAGTCTCAACAGCCGCTCAAACTGCAATCGTGAATTGTTTAAAATATTAACACTCATGCAGGTAATCGTTTCCCTTTAAAATGATTCCTGCAGGTAGATTAAAAATGGCAGCCAGTGCGTCCGCCGAACATCTTTGTGTGAAGCTTTTCCTGCTGTAAACCGGGTCAGGTGTTAAAACGGTTTAATAAACAGCGCGATAGCAATAAAGCGGCAGTGTCCCCTTCATGGGTTTGAAGCGTTCCTGAGGCCCGTTGCTGCCACCTACTGGTAAGGGCTCAAAACATAACACCACAAAGCTGTACTGCGTTTACTAAAATTCAAATATACTGCACCTCAAACATGCACTATGAAAAATGTGTTTCTGTTGACTGTCCTATGGGCTCAAATTGTGGTCATAAATATTTTGTACTTGTAAATCAGAATGCGTATATATATTTGTGCATCTGCAGATAAGAATTTGTGTGTGCGTAAGAAAAAGATTTGGGTGTGTAAAAATATTTACACAAGTTACAAGTTGTTTTTGTTAAGGTCTGGCTACAGATACAAAGCAAAAAAAAAAATATATAAAAAATACGTGTGAAACTGCACTCAAGTTTCAACTTACAAGTAAGAGTTTTGACCCGATTTTTCTTCCTTTCAGCTGATTGGTCAATGTCTTGTCAATCACAAATTTAACTATCCAATCAGAGAACAGATGACTACTCTCAAAGGATAGCCTGTTATATCAAACTGTAATGTGCACAAGTCTAGAGAACAAAGAAACACCAGTCATGTCGAATTTTGAGGTGCTTTATAGTCACAACATGCTCCACAAGTTCAAACTCTGCTAGCTTTGTTTTGTATCTCACGAGGTAAACAACGCAGAGTCACAGTCACGAGTCGTTTCAGCAACTGATTACACTGGCACAAACCAAAAAAAAAAAGAAAAGTGTTCTAAGGTCTGAGTACACATCCAACCCTTTTCCCCTAAATTCATTTTTTGTTTCAAATGCACCTTAAAAGAAGCTGTTACAAAATGGCAAAAAAAATATTTACAAGCTAGTAAACTTATTACATTAATACATTAGGTCTTTGTCACATTACATTTTTCACACAAAAACTCATGAATGAGATAAAGGCAGTGTTGTGTTCATCGTTCCCCCTCCAGAGCCGTTTCTTCGAACAAGCTGAGCAGGTTCTTTGGTTCCAAGCTGGGTCGAGGAGGTACGGCCTCCTCCACTTGGACCCAGTTGCGCCCACGCCGCTGTGAGGACTTGGTGGATGGAGAGTGTAAGCTCTGGAAGGGGTCTGCGTCCAGCTCGACATGTATCGGACTCACTTTGGGTGTCAGTGTGCGGCAGGAGCCATTAGTGTGGATGCTGGAAGGGGTCTGAGCAAGTTTACATGAGAACCAGCCACTAAGATTTGAGTGAGTGGGTGTGTGGGCAGGACTCTGGTGATAGCGCATTGGCGAGCCCGGGAGAGGCGTGGATGTGCTCTCTACAGACAATCTGGATTTTACCCTGTGACATGAAAACAAAGGAAGATAAAAAAGGAGAGTTAAACAGAAATATACTCACTTAAAATTTTTCTTCCATCCTATTGATGCGATAATTCTCTACCTTTGTGAGAAGGTGGGGGACAGTTCTGGGTCTGTGGGATGAAAAAACACTGCATCCTCTTCTGGGGTCCCGGAGTCAGTATGCATGGCACTGAGAGGCAGGGTTAAATCCCTGTCCCAACTGTCTTTAGGAGGAGTGCAAGGAGCTGGATTGTTCCAATGAGGGAGGAAGGGCAAGCGAAAGAAGGAGAGGAATCTACACCCAAAGGAGACTACGATCTATGAAGAAAAGAAAATATAGAAAAATGTATTTGTCAAGGTTGAGGAAAGTAAACTTTAAAGGCTCAAGTTTGGAATTGGCCAGGCTAAATTAACTTCAGGACTGATTCACTGGATTAGAGATTTTCTAACTGATCATCTGAAAAGCTTTGTATTAATCATGTTTTATTTGGTGAAACCATTGTTAGTACGGGGGATCCTCAAGGGTGTGTTCGATCACTATTGTCATTTTCTGTTTAAATGACATGCAGGGAATGTGAAAATGTTAAAATATGCTGATGATTGTCTTTTGTTTTTATAGGAACTCTAACTATTTTGTTCAGGTTCATAGGTTGAAAGAGAGGTTTAAATCTTGTTATTTGTTGATTAATGTCCACAACACATGTTTGACTTGAATAACACAGACCCGATGGACAGGTTTTCCACTTTATATATATTGATATATTGATGGCAAGATCAACTTTATGATTAATGCTTTATCCATTTACAAGGAAGCTAATCAGAGATTCATTGTTATCAGGACGTCGAGAGGTTTCGGAGTTGGGCACAACGTTTTGGAAAGAGTTTGTCAGCTTGATTTTACGTTCAGTTTCTCAGCCTGGTTTGGTAACCTGACTGTGGCAAACAGGAACACAATAACAAAATAAACAGGATTGTCAGAATTTCTGGAAAAATGATTGGTTGACAACAAACTTTATTGGCTAAGCTGTGTCATCAGACTATCTTCAGGAAAGCTCGGTCTATTGTTGCTGACCGTGAACTAGGGGTGGAGGGAAAAATCGATACTGTGTAGTATCGTGATATTTTGTTTGCTAATAATGTATCGATACAGGGACAGCAGAAATCGATATTTTGTTACAAAAAAAGTTTTTGTGCTCTGACTTCAGAGCATGTTGATCCTTTTTCTGAGCAAGAATCCTGACATTCCTTCACTGTCCAAATGTGTTTAACTTTTTTTTGGCAGCAATAAACATGACAGTTTACTTATTTTAATTTAAGACATGTTTTATTTTAATTAAGTTTAAAACTTTTTTATTTAATGTAAAATTATATTTTGTTTTAATTTACTTTCAAATTCTTCAGTTGCTGAAGGGCTGCATAGTTTTCATAAATTGCATAGTTCAGAATAGCTATAATTGTACCAGATGGTTGCATTCAGTTAAGTTGGACTAGACTGTAATACAAACCGTTCAGTTTGTCAACAATAAAACTGACTGAAATGAGAGAAAGACTGAGTGCGAGACTTTGATATTAGATAAAATGAATATTGATAAAGTTTACCTTTATGTACAGAATCTGAATATCGCAAAATATTTTTAAAAAATTGCAATAATATCGTATCGTGCGTTAAGTATTGTGATAATATCGTATCGTGGGATGTATGGTGATTCCCACCTCTACCGTGAACACCCCCATTATTCTGACTTTGAATTAATGTCCTCAGGACAACTTTATAGGATCCCTCTAGCTAAAGGGGTATAAGGGATCATTGGTACCAAATGCAATCAGCATGCTAAATAATAAGATGCTGTGGTGTATTTCTGTAGTTGTATTGAATTTATAGATGTGCATATCTATGAATGTGGGCCGACATCTCCCAGGATTCATGAACTGATTGGTTGATTTGTGGCTTGGTCAACCGAAAACAGCTGCCCATTATGTGGACAATAAAGTTATTCTATTTTTAATGCTGTGGCATCCTTACAAGGACATTTTACTAAACTGTTAATCAAAATAATCAATCCTAAAAGATTAATATTTAAAGGATTTAGTGATTCTGTTACCTGACACAGAGAGGCCAGTGTCAGCATTGTCTCAGCAGCCATAAGATACATGCGTCTCCTCCACCTGCGTTTCCTAACAGAGGGGAGGGCAAGAAGCTCAGAGACTGTGGGTCTCTCAGACGGCTCTGGGGCCAGCATCATCTGTAGGACTGTCTGAAGCTCCTCTGACAGGCCTGCAATCACACATGGAAGTTTAAAAGAAAAATCATTATATCAGACGAGGAAATTGATGAGGCCTCCTAGAGCAGATCTCACCGTTGGTAAACTCTGTGGGGAGACAGCCTCGCCTGAGCTGCTGCCACCCCTCGCCACCATTTGGAACCTCGATATTACAGGCAAGCTCCAGTATGGAAACCCCCAAACTAAATAAAAAAGGATGCGATAATATTTAGACACTTATTTCAAATCAGATCAGTCACATCTGTACATAATGAATCACATATGTACCTGAAAACATCTGCAGCAGGTCCATACTCCCCACGCAGCAGCTCGGGGGCCATGTATCTGGGATCACCCTCCTGAACATCATCCTTTGATTTCTCCCCTGCAGCTCCCATCTGTTTGAGCTCAAGCAGCAGTCCGAAATCACCCAGCTTCAGACGACCAGAGGCGGTGATGAGGACGTTGGCGGGCTTGAGGTCCAGATGCACGAAGCCATGAGAGTGTAAGTGCTGCAGTGCTGAGAGGAGATCGCACAGGTAGGCCCAAGCAGCAGGCTCGTCTGTTTACAAGCAAAAAACACAAGTCCGCATGAACGAGGATGTAGAAGTTTTATACAAAATCACAGCTGATACAAACTGTTTTTGGGCAGACCTGGGCCAGGAGGCTGGTTCTCAGCGTGATGCAGCAAGCTGGTGCTGCACAGCTCTGTCTGGATGTAGAGTCGGCCGCACTCCTCCCAGGCAGCCACGAAGTTCAAAATATGAGGATGAGGACACAGGTGCTCGTGATTCCTGGCTTCCCTGACGCTCCGATTCCTCTCACTGTTACCCCTGAAGCGCTGAGCAGAGCGTTTGACTGCGTACTGATGACCATCTCTGTTGCTTTGCACCTGGAGAGAGAAAAGAAAATATCCAGAAATTACAACTTTTGGAAAAATAAACAAACAAATACTTAAAATCCTGAATTTTCCAGTTTCCTTGATGTGAAGAAACAGCAACACCAAATATATTATGTTATTATATAGCCCTCTTTATTTAAATCTGTGTTTTGCTCACCTTGTAAACTTCTCCAAATGATCCCCTCCCCAGCAGGCCCAAGTTAGTAAAGCACTGATTGAAGTAGGACTGCTGTTTGCTGGGATCATACGCAGAATTTGGAGATTTACTGAGGGAATTAGACAGGGGTGTCCAGGGGGATTGATGCTGAGGAAACATTCTGCTCAGCGGGGGGCATCCTTTAGATGGTGGCAGCGGAGGCAAAGAAATTGAGAGACGAGCAGGGGAATAGTAGGATGAGTTTGACGTAGACGACGAGGAAAAAGGTAGCCGGCGCTTTTTGAGAGAGAAGGACTGCTCCGCGTGGGAGAAGTGGGTTGGAAGAGGGAGAGCCACCCTCGGCACTGTAGTTTCCACCGCCACAGACATTGTGTCGACCTTTTCTGTGATTTACTATAAAGACAGGAAGCTG